TTGTATTGTCACCATGTTGCCAGATCTTATTCCAAGGCTAATGAACAAAAGCCAGAATCTGTGTACTGAAACCTGTGAAACCATGCACTGAAACACACTTTTTCTTGAAATTCTTAAGATTAAGTCTACTTTTATAACACATCCATAGACATAGGAATGACCAAACATTCAAGTGCTCTAGGTACATGTGACCTTAGCTCATCACCTTTCAAGAAATTCTAGAAAAGTGGTAGAAACAATTCACATAAAAAATTCAGAATAGTAACTGTTAGGAAAATATTTTTTAAGCATTGGACTTTGAAGACTCTGCACTATTCTTCATCTTCTACACTAGGCATAAAACCAGGACCACTTGGAGTTTTTTTTTACAAGAGCTTATGCAATGCATTTCATAGAAAAAGGCAATTCCATTGTACTATTTATACTAGTCCTGGAGCCTGGAAGCCCTTGCCTGGGTGGTGATTTGGATAACAACCAGTGTGTTCCTATAATTAAATGTTTTCCCTTTTTGATGAAGACATTGTTTTAATAAGCTCCATTGCTTGCATAACTAACTCATTTTGGGAATCATGTTTGACTGATCTAAGTTATGAATTTTTTGAAAAAAGATGTTTTTATCTACTTTTTGAGGATTTAATGCAATGGGTTTTGATCATACTCATTCACCTCCTCCAACTTCTCCAAGGAGCTTTTCTACCTCCCTACTTACCAGCTTCATCTTCTATATCCATCTTAAATTAAACACAGGCATAGAGTTCAGTTTGTGTCATTAGTACTGGGCAAGGAGACTGCCCTGGACTGTGACTCATATACCTGTTGTCAGCCCATTCGAAACAACTGATCTCTCTCTTCTAGCCACTGTCATGTTAGTATTTCCTTAGCTAGGGTAATACTCTATACCTAGATGCCTTTCTCCATGCTGGGACTTTGTGCCTATTGTCAAAAGCTCTCTAATCTCAATGCTTATCTTACTCTGGAGTCTGGAACACCCATTTCTTGAAGGCATTCACAACCTCTGGCTCTTAAAATCTTTCCCATTCCTCTTCCACATAGAGCCTTGATGTCTGGGACTAAGTATCCTGATAGTTCATACTCCCTTCAGGACAAATGACTCAGCAACATGAAACACGAAAAGCTTCAGTAAATCTAAAGAAAATGATTAGAAAAAAATATAAAAAATGCATACAACATGATTTGGTTGTGACTTCATCAAAATAACAGAAATGGAAAGATAAAAATAAGGGATTATGGGCTTAGCAGGCTGTGGGTGGACATGGCAAACTAGTGACAATGGTTCAGATCCCCATCATGACTACAGCAACAATTCTACACCGAAACAGTAGCAAGGTTGCAAACGGTTCCACACAACCATAAAATCAGCAAATAAGTGAATGTATATAATTTGTGACTTTAAATAAACTACATGAAAATGCATATATAGTTTCATTGTTAATTACACACAATGCTAATACTGGTTAAAGTTAGCTGCAGCCATAGTAGACACACCACTGCATATTTCTTTCTCAATCAAGAAAATAAGTATTTCAAATACAGCTTTTTAAATGCCTATGGGAAGTTTTATATATTTCTAAATTATCTGATTTCCTCTGTTTTGGGTTAGTGAGTATCCAAATAATGATATTTTTGTTTTTATGCAAATTGATACATACATATTCATTGTACAGTTTTTAGTATAGTTTCACAAATATTGAATAAATTTTATAGTTCACACTGATCCTACTACACGTAACCTAAAATAGAACAAATATAATATGATTTCTTTCCTTAGTTTTATTGTATATGAAATTCCAAGCACAATTTGTTTTACAACATTATATACATCATTAATCCATATACCACAGAGTTTTCACTGTACAAAGGTACTTCAAAAACCTATCAAATTAGTCCTATGTGAACACCTTTTCATGTAGAACAGATATTACAATAAAATAATTTTATTACAATCTCTCAAAACTATTGCTACCACTGGAAGACTGGTTTTATTTTGTATTTAAGGGTCAAAATTAACTACAGCATAGACCAAAGATTATTGACTGTACAGTAGTAGTGAATTGTTGGCAGAGGTTGAAAATATTTGTGTTTAAATCTTAGTTTGAAATTAATAAAGCAGATGCTGTGGTGGCTTTATAAACTTTGGGGGAAAGATGACACTATACTAAAACAATGAGTAAGAAAGTGTCAAGTTACCGTGACTTGTTATATGAAGAAGCCACATCATTCAATACGATTTTTATACTCGGGCATCTTTCTCATGCATGCATAATCACATGCATTGAAATCTATTTTCTGCTTTTTAATATAATACATTTATTTTGCCTGCATGCTTATTTCCAGTTGAATAAATGTGCACATCCCTGCTGGGTGGCACGAAAGCCAAGCATACTCTTATATTTTTGGTTGTGAGCATAGTCTTTAATGGCTGAGCCATCTCTCTGGCCTGAAGCATACTCTTAATAATTATGTTGACAAATACATCCGGGCATGTGTGTGTGTGTGTGTGTGTGTGTGTGTGTGTGTGTGTGTGTGTGTGTGTGTTTATAAGGAAACAGTTATGCTTTTGAAATTAAAGAATTATTAAAGAATTAATCAAAGAGAACTACGCAGTGTAGCGTGAATAATAAAAACCCAGAGACAGATATTGCAGATAAAGCATCAAGCTGAAGATCAGAAAAGCAAAGAATCCATGCCGCTAGAGAGTTCTTAACTCTACTAAGGCTCAGACCAAAGGGGAGGCGTAATCCTGCCCTCAGCTTGGCTGCAGATTGCAAATGTATCCACCAAACCCCAGACTGCCCAGAGACTTCCCTGAGCTCCTGCCTTATATTCCTATTTAGTACTGAGATTAAAAGTGTGAGCTCTGTTTCTCTTTTAGACAGACTCACTTGAACTCACAGACATCCATTTGCCTGTCTTCCAAGCGCTGGGATTAGAAGTATGGCCACCACTGCCTGTCCTCTATGACTAACTACTGGCTTAGTGTGTGGCTAACTACTGGCTTAGCTCTTAACTAGTTGTGCAGCTAGCTGGTAACTTAGCCCTGTACTCTGATCTTTAGGCAAGCTTTGTTAGATTACAAACAAAATGTGACTACAACCCAGGGACCAAACCAAAGCAGATGACACATTCTTAACCCTTGCCACTTTGTCATGCTCATATATTTAGAGCTCTAAGGAGCACTGCTCTTTTCTTTCACCATTTCTGCCTATATTTTTCATTACACACCAACAAATGTGTATCTGCAAATGTATCATTTGTACAACATAAACTTGGAATTTCACTTTTGTTTGAAAGCAACACTTGCTTGACTTCTGTCATGAATCCACATTTTTTCCCAATTGACATGAAACCTTAAATCAGACACCTGTTAGTGTTTAGGAATGAACCTGAGGTCAACTAATATAGATCCAACACAGTTATCCCCTCAAACCGATTGCTTGTGGGATCTGTCCTCTTGTTACAGCTGTGTTTTAGAGGAGCTAACTCTCATGAGAAAGCAATTAACCTGACTACCCAGTACATTTGAAGCCATCCCTTGTGAACTTTCACCCACACCTACAAAGGTTTTGCCCGAAGTCCTTTGTTTATGAATATAATAAAAACAATGAGATTGGCTGGAAATATTATTTGTAGAAAATCAGCCCTTTGGCATGCTACTTGGTAGCATGTATATATATTTAAATCACCTCACTTGTGATTTGTATATCCCCCTATATTTGTCTATATTTGGCTTTGTATATATAACAGTGTATTTCTTATAGTGGGTTGAAATAAGTGGGTGAAAATAATAAGTAACTAAATTATTATTCACTATGAACTCTACTAGAGCAAAATGTATTACAGTTTAGCTGCAGTTGTAATAAATTGAAATCCTCAGTCTCCTGTAACACAAAGTAATTGTGTTAATTCCTAATCATGAATGAAGCCTGAAGACATTTTGTCTTTTCAGTTTCAACTACATTTAGACATTTTTGGGGAGTTAATCTTGTATCCATTCACTTCATTAAAGATGTTTGTATCGTAAATATCTTATTAAAAGAATATTTCAACTGTTTATGGGGTGATGCAAGAGAGCTGGGGATTTGAACACAGATCTTTATGATTTTAGAGCAAGACTTTTATACCACAAACCATCTTCCTGTGAAATTTATAGTATTTGTTTCAGTGAAAATATATTTGTTAGCAGATGACGTTGATCACATTATCTGTATGATGAGGTCCTAGGATTACTCCTCATTTGTCATAATACTTATAATTTACACCCATCACTGGCTGAATTATGAACTGGGCATCCCCAGCAATTATACATACATTTTCAGTGTTTCTTTTCCATCTTCCTAATTCATTTGAAAGGTGAATCTAGAATTTTTCTTTTATTACTTTGACTAAATTATATTAAATACCTATATAATAATAAGCGTATATATTGTTTTCACCACTATCCTTTCTCAGCTAAACTAAATACTTGGAAACCATTGATCTACCCATGTATATTATGAATCTCACATACTCTGATAGAATTCTTGTTAATATAGCTTTAATTTTGGAAATTAAACTATGATTGCATCATTTTAGTTTCCCCTTCTTTCCCTCAACTCTTCCCAAACAGCAGGCCTTCAATCCATATATACATTTTCTAAAATACATAAATACAATGGGCTCAGTCTCTATAATGTTATTTGTATGTATATGATGTTATGGCTGAACAGTTGTTATTGGTGAACCAACTGAAGAACTCTTCCCTGTGGAAAAAGATGGCTTCCTCTCAATCTCAGCATTCCTTAGTAGTCTGTAATTCTTTGTCTTGGTTTGTGATCAAGTGAATGTTTATTATATTTATATATATATATCTAATTAATCAAGTTTTAACTGCAGGACATCTTAAGCAAGTAGAGTTTTTTTTCAGTGAAGTAAGGCAGACACAAAAATGTAATAACATATTTTCTTTAATTTGTGGGCTGTTGATTTATATGATGTGTGTGTGTGTGTGTGTGTGTATGATGAATCTACAAAGGGATTATGAAAAGGGAGGAAGAGATGTAAAAGTGCACGTAAAAAGTAAAGAAAATGTGTCTTTACACAGAATTGGAAGCTGTTTGGAGTGAGCGAAGAGACAGCAACTGGGGAAAAGGAAAGATGATGGAGGAAAATAAGAGGATGATTTAAAAAAATATGATGGTGTATTTATAAAAAAAATTCACAATAAAACCCATCTTTGCTTACTAAAATTTGATTACCTCTTTTTCAAGAGGAATTCAATTTTTGAATATTGTCATTATCCTGTAAGTGTCCAAATGTCTTTTGAGAATTTCCCAGGTGAGTTCAAGGTCCTACTATAAGTAGATGCTTTCCTAATGTAATCTGACACGACATATGAAGTTAGCATCCAAGAGTGTCTTTTAAAAAAATTCAGATTTTTCCACTTCACTTGTTGTCACCTCTGTGAATAGCAAATGTGAGATTATCTTGTCTGAAAATTATGTTTATGCAAAGCTTTGCTGTTTGATGGATTCAGGATAATTTGATTGTGTAGATTTATCAAGCTTATTTTCCTCTCAGTAGGGAATGCATCGTTATATTTCCTCTTTCTAGCTCTCATTTTAAGTCATGAGTCCACCTCTGTTCTTCTGTGGTTGATCAATATAACAGTCAATGGGAATAAACTTGCATTATAGAAACAAACTATGTTCTTTTTTTTTTTTTAAGAGACCTAATGTATGACCTTTCACTTGGAGAGAACAAAGCCATTAACACCAGATAAGGCACCAACGATACACCACAGAAGTGTTCCTATATAAGTCTTACAAGAACAAATGCATCTATTAGGATTACTTATAGGTGCAGAAGTGAGGAGTTACTTCCAATAAAAAGGACAAGTCAAAGCTGGAGCCCAGTAAACCCTTCCTAGCATAGATGACGACTCAAGAAATCCACATAGTTCTTTCCTGGAGAAATTGTCTCTAGACGCTCTTAACGTTGGTGAGCTTCCTTTGTCTTGGAGACTTCATTCTTCCTTGTAAGAAGAAATGTTTCACCTAAATGGAAAACACAGCCTTTAGCTTTCAATCTAATCATAAGGATAATGTGTTTATTTCTGTGTAATGTTTTGAAAACTTGTTAGTAATGTTAACATGAAGATTTGTTCATTTTTCACAATTCATTTACTTTTTCTAACTAGCACAGGTTGAAGATAAAGTAAGGAAACATTGTGATCACAGAGATAGAATTTTTATTTAGCCAGAAAACAGTGACTTAGACATCTCTGCTCAAAATCTCCGAAGACTGAAACCAGAACTGTAGCAGTATTCTAATCAGCCTAATGGCTTCAAGTTCTGCAAATCAGAACAGGGAAGCCCACAAAACATGGAGTCATCCAAATTTTGCATGGAACTGAGAAAGGGAAGCAGGAGAACTTAAACTTCATTAAACTCTATGTAAACCTGGAGCAAAGAATGAGGGTTAGAGATTTTACAACATTAGCATATTCAAATTCAGGAGGAGAGAGCTCTTCTGAATGGTGACTATGTCTTATGATTTCAAGTCATTGTTTATTGTTCCTGATGGCTCCTCTCACTGATCAATATATTACAGAAAACCCTATGACAATGTATTTTGACTACAGAGGTTTGTAAATACATTTTATACATTTATTTATTTATTTTATCTATAGGTGATGCAAAAAACTCATGTAGAGGACACCCAACAACTTGTGCAAGTACATTCTGACCCCCACAACGGATGATGGGGATTCCCGTCATCAGGTCATCTTACTTGGAAGCAGGTACTGTAAGTAACCACTGAACCACTTTTCTAACATGATATTTAATTTTTAATAATATATGCTGAATGTAACAAACTGGGAAATTATCTTTACCAATAAACACTGGAACATTCATAGAACTGTATAGTTTCCATGTAGAATTCTTGATCTGGATGTTGAAGGATGTTCAGTGTTGAATTCAGTTTCCCTTACAGTTACAGAACACAATATAAGCAGAATGAATCTGAGAACTGTAAAGTCATCTATCTGAATAATATTAAAATTACCATCAGTCTGAGAAACCAGCATTTGTTTTGTCTTTTATGCACATTTTTTGATCTTTGTGACTTGGATTAAAAAGCAAAGTAAGTATTTTTGGTGATGAACTAATGTTAGTGTTCATGAAGTTAGAATATCCTTATTTCCCTTTCTTGTAGAATTTGAAGCAAGGCAGTCATTAGGATGAGCTTGCCAGTTGGTCCCTGTAGATAAATAAGTGTGTCTCTGTTACAACTGAAAGCATAAAATATGACAATATATGCAGGAATGATTTGAAAAAAATAACTGTTCAATGTACTTTATTAGTGAATTGATATTTATAATATTAAAATGGAAGAGAATTAGTGATTTTGAAAACATAATTGTAATTGCAAAATCTTGTCTGCTGTAGTGTTGGAATGTTTTACTAATCATAAAAATGCATGCAACAAGGCAGGTTGGAATGGACTGAATTCAGTATTTATAATTAACCGAGTAACAGATTTTCAAAACTGTGTGTCCTTGTAACTTATTCAAAAGTTTAACATAAACTTCAAGTACAAAAGACAATATCCTTGGAAATATGCCTTAGTGGATTAAGTTCACTAAGCACACACATCTTTGGTTTCCATGGGGTAAAGTGCTGATCAAGGATGTGGAAAATCTATTACATTTTTTCTTGTTTTACTCTTAGAGAAGGTTTTGCAATACATAAAAGTTACATCTGAAAAAAGTTACATAAATCGCAGCACATAGCTACAAAGGATATTACACTGAATTCAATTTTTAAAAAAAAATTATCAACAGATTTATATAGATAATGTACCTGCATATAGATATTATGCTTATTCACTTATACAGCCAGGATTATAATTATCATTTTTTCCAATATGCTATGTAAAATTTCCATTGGAATGAGAGGCACACTCAATTGTGTTGAAAGATCACAGCTCATTGCACTGTGGTCCAGGGTCCTGTGTTGTTTTTTTTTTAATTATTTCCAGGCTTCTTTTATCATTAGCACATTCCATATCAACAACAGAATGTCAGAGGCAACTTAGTGGGAGAAATTTGTTAGGATTATTTTAGGGAGTGAGAGTGAAATAATACTTGTGAGATAGGGAATTAAGTTTTTAACTGCAGAAGCAGCATAATTACACTAGATTTTATATTAAATTCCAAATGAATTAATAGAGTGAATGAATTATCCAATTAAAAAGTGGGGTACCGAACTAAATAGAGAATTCTCAATACAGGAGTCTAAAATGGTCAATATACATTTAAGAAAATGCCCAACATGCTTAGCCATCAGGGAAATGCAAATCAAAACAACTCTGAGATACTATCTTACGTCTGTCAAAATGACTAAAATAAAAAACACCAATGACAGTTTATGTTGGAGAGGATGTGGAGAAAAGGGAACACTCCTCCACTGCTGGTGAGAGTGACAACTTGTACAGCCACTTTGGAAATCAGTTTGGAGATTCCTCAGGGTGATGGGAATCAGTCTACCACAAGATCCAGCAATTCCACTCTTAGGCATCTACCCAAAAGATACACATTCATACAACAAGGACATCTGTTCAGCCATGTTCATAGCAGCATTATTTGTAATAGCCGGAACCTAGAAGCAATCTAGATGCCCTTCAACTCAAGAGTGGATAGAGAAAATGTGCTACATTTGCACAATGGAATACTACTCAGCAGAATATAGAAATGGAATCTTGAAATTAGTAGGCAAATGTATTGCACTAGAAGAAACCATCCTGAGTGAGGTAACCCAGTCACAAAAAGACAAACATGGTATGTGCTCAATCATATATGGATTTTATGCAGGGAGCAGGGAATTGCCAGCCTACAATCCACACTTCCAGAGAGGCTGGGAAACAGTAAGGATCCTAAGGGAGACATGCAGAAGGGGAAGGGAACAGGATCTCCTAAGCTGATTGGGAGGATGGGGGGGGGCGAGAGTAAGCTGAGAGAAAAAGAGGGTGGAGAAGAGGAGGGGATAAGAGGAAATGGGGAAGCAGGAAGGTTGAGTCTGGGGAATAATATGGGAGAGCACAATGAGACATACCATAATAGGGGCAGCCATTGTAGTTTTGAGGAGAGATCTGGCACTAGGCAGATTTCCAGAGGTCTAAAAGGATGACATTAACTGGCGATCTCAGCAATTGTGCAGAGATTACCTTAAATGCCTTTCCACAATAATGAGATTGACAACTACCGTATATGCCATCCTAGAGCCTTCATCCAGTGGCTAATGGAAGCAGAGGCAGACACCCACAGCTAAACACTGAACTGAACTTCTGGAACCCAGTTGCAGAGAGGGAGGAGGGATGAGCAAATGGGTCAAAAAACAGACAGGTGAAACCCACAGAAACAATTGAGCTAAACAAGGGGGAGCTCTTGGACCCCAGACTGATGACTGAGAGGCCAGCATGGGACTGATCCAGACCCCCTGAACATAGGTGTCAATGAGGAGTCCTTGGCAATGTATGGGGCCTCAGGTAGTAGATCAGTATTTTTCCATTGTATAAAATGGACTTTGGGAGCCTATTCCATATGGAGGGATGCTCTCTCAGCCTGAGTACAGGGGAAGGACCTAGGTCCTGCCCTGGATGATATAACAGACTTTGGGGATTCCCCATGGAGGCCTTCACCCTCCCTGGAGAGTCAAATAGGGATGGGATGGGGAGTAGGTGGGGTCTGGGGATGAGGGAAGGGAAAGGCAGCTGGGATTGACATGTGAGGCAGGCTTATTTTTAATTTAAATAAAAATAAAGAGTAAAAGGGAATGCAAGGGTCCATGATATACTTGATATGAAACCCATTGCCACATTTAGTAAATACAAACCATTAAACAACATTTAAGATAGATTTATATATGATCTAAATGGAGATTATTGTTATAAGAAATTTTAAGACTGAATTGAGCCAGGTGTTGTTGGTACACTCCTTTAATCCCAGCACTCGGGAGGTAGAGGCAGGTGGATCTCTGTGAGTTTGAGGCCAGCCTGGGATAGGTACCAAAGATACACGGAGAAACTCTGTCTCAAAAAACAAAAAACAAAACAAAACCAAAAAAAACAAGACTCAGTTGAAGAAGGCTACTACTTAAGATTGGTTAAAGAATATATTTGTCTTTTTCTGGTTCTTTGTGGGAGGAAATAGAGAAAGCTGGGAGTGTTGACATAGTATTGGCTCGTTTTTATGTTTCAAGAATCTTGCTGTAGACATTGTGGTTCATAGATTTACTTTTGTGATTCACTGGGCAATTATATGCTTTTATATTCTTAGTCTACTGCCCTCCCTGATGTTTTGATCACCATCTTAATTGAAGAAGATTGAGTCACTCAGGAGTGGGGTCAATTCCTAAATCATCTTAATCCTCAAATGTGTTTCCTGTTTTGCCTGACATTTTTGTTGATGAATCATCCATGCAATCCTCTAATAAGGGGAGAACTGTGTAGACACGTATCAGACTGGCTAGAATGAATGAGCCATCATCATAACTGTGAATGACACAGTGGTGTGATGTTATTGTCACTATAGCGATTGATGCTGCAATGATAAACGGCACACTTACTGAAAGTATAAGTATTGATGAGCCGAGTATTTTTCCATCACCAAACTGGAAGCCGGAAAGAGAACGAGACATTCTGCTGCTCAGTCTTTTATTCCCTCCTCCGTAATGCCCCTAGTCATGCCCAAAAGTGGGCCTGGCTAGTGACGTAGTTCACTGCCTATGTCCATCTATGTATTTAGTCGCACCCAAAGTGAGTGTGGTTAGCAGTGTGGTAAACCTTCCTTTTATTACCTCATCTGTATGAGCCTCTAATAAGTCAAATGGCTAATGGCGGAGTACTATTTCCTCCTACAAGTGATAATAATAATAAACAACACTTTGAAAACTAAAGAATAGATAGTATTTATCATAACCAGAACTCTGTTATCTAAACAAGAAGAACAAATCACATCAGCCACAAGGTTATTAGTATTAAAATGGAGGAAGCT